TACTTTTGCAATTTAGCTAGCTTTGTCTTAATCTCAACCAGGTTGTTTGCCCTACTACATCTCTATCATTTAGCCTTGTTGCTAGTTCTGTGAAGTGGTGAGCGACTTGACTTTGCTAGAGAGTCCTGACACCAGTAAGGTTTTTGTGCGTTAGTGTGCCATTGGTTATTGTGCTTGCTAGGTTGCTTTACTCTTGATTAACATAAGCATTGGGCAGTGGATTTTCTTGCATATATTTTGTGGCATTAAATAGCACTATAGCCGGTATTTTAGCCTTGGTATGAGTACTTTGTTATTTATATACACTAGCTGGCCTAGAGATATTTTCTTCTTTTTGATAGCTTTTGTGAGCTGCGCGATCTCTTTTCTAGCAACTTTGGTCTTGCACTCTTTTCCACTCTTTTCGGAGATCCAGATACCCAAGTATCTTGTCGCTTTTGTCTTTCTTTTGGCCTTGACTACAACTCCTGCAATTGCAATTTAGGCATCTTCTTCTGGGGCGTTCGTGTTTCTCCTCCTACTTATTACTATAAGTTCTGATTTCTTGCCATTAATTTTTATATCATTGATCTTAAAGAACTCTTCCGCTATACTAATGATTTTTTCTATTTCTGATTTGGATTTGGCAAGCCACACTGTGTCATCCGCATATGCAATTGCCGTTTGTCTTCATGAAAAGTTCTTATATAACAGTCTTGTGATATCTGAAGGCTAGCTTACTTTCATTTCATATCCTAGGTCTTTTTCCTCTTGAACTGCTACTAATAGAGAGTCGTAGAATATTCTCCACACCAAGAGGGAGATTACTTCACCTTGATCAATACCATCTACTGCTTGAAACCTGTCTGTATTACCTACACTTGTGATTAGCTCTATTTCTCTTTTTTCATACAAGTGAGCTATGAACTTGACAATTGTTGCTGGGATTTTAATTCTCTTTAAGGCGAGTTTTAGCATTTCATTGCTTATGGAGTCAAAGGCCTTGTGGATATCTTGCAGGACAATCCAAAGTTCATTGTTCTTTTCTTTTGCGTCTTCAATAATATTGTTAATGATATGAATGGGGCTGGCCGTGTCCTCTCCAGGCAAACCTGCAAAGTTTTACCCTTTTAAGATTTCTCTTTCTTTAAGAATCTTGCTTAGTCTAATCATAAGTATTCGCACAGTACACTTCCTAAACACCTCGATCAATACTATTAGTCTAATATTGTTCAAATTATAGTTCCACTCTTCGCTTTTGGGTATTGGATATAGCATTTCGGCTTTCCACTTCTTTGGAATTCCCCTTTCTTGATACATGCTGATGCTATTTTTGCAAATACTTTTCTAGCTTTGATACCTGCTTGCTTTAGGATTGGGTAACTTATACCTGACAGGCCTGGTGCTGATTTGCTTTTTGCTTTGCTCATTGCACTGTCCCATTCTTCTACTGTTACTTCTTGCATCAAGCTCTTATACTATGAAGCCTCTATGTCATCTCTTTCTGCATAGATTCTTCTCCATCTCTTTGACATATTGTTTGGTTTTGGGCTTCTTTTTGCATATTGGTTCTGGAAGTGTTTCTTTACTTCATTTTTAACTTCGTTCAGATCACAAACAAGGTTTAACTCCCCTTTATCGTTTGCCGTTACTACTTTATTGATCTTGATTCTTTTAAAAGGTCTGTCCAGCAAACTAGCTAGCATTCTTTTTTGATCTTTAATAATCATATCGTATCTTGTTTCAATGAAACCTCTGATCCTCTCCTCTTCTTTTTGCTTCAATATACTGTTTAGCTTAAAAAATAACACGTTCCAGTACTCTTTAAGGCTCGATTCTTGTACTGCTTCTGGCTGTAATATCTGGTGTATGTCATCTAGCTCTCTTCTTTGGATAATCTCAGAGCATTTTGAAGCTAGTTCTTCAGAGATTACTATGCTACTGTTGCGTTTTTGTATTCTAAGAAGTCTTTGCATCTTGCCTAGAATTTTAATGTCTTTTCGGAGTCCCACTTCTTCCTCACTTTGTTCTTCCTCTTTACCATTAATTAGCCCTACCCGTTTCTTCTTTTTGGGTAGATACTTATTGGCTGCGTTGATGATTGCCTTTTCAGCTATCTCTCATAGCAAATCTATCTTTACTAAATTGGCATTTACTTCTTCTAGTTTGCTCCCAATCTCCTTGTCAAGTGCTTTCCTAAAGTCTTGCCAATTTTCTTCTGTCATATTCTTAACGTCGAAATTAATCCTCTTTTGTTTTTTCCGAATCTTTGTCTACTGTGTAATTGTGCTTCTTTTCGTGATTTCTGTTGAGATTTTTGCGACTACCATGTCATGGTCACTGACAGTTATACATGCCATATCTAATATGCTGCTATGGAAGGCCTTGTTGCTCCATGAGTCGCTTAACTAGATGAAGTCTATTCGTGAAGCAAAGTCATTTCTTCTCCATGAGAACTCTGCTACCTCTGGGTTAAGGACTCTGTAAATATCTCTGAAGTTGTGTACTTCAAGAGTTCTAATTAGGTTCGCCTGATTTTTGATCCCAACTTTGCTTTTGTCTTTTCTATCTTTTTCACTTTTTACTACCTGGTTTAGATTACCCAGTACTATGTAGTATCTTGGCTTTTTTCTCTTATACTCTTTCATCTTGTCTTTAATTGTTGCCAGAACTTTGTTTTCTATGTTAGGATTGTTTAGTGCCTGATATATAACCAAGCATTCTATATTAATCTGTTTAAATGTAAACAGAACCTCAAGGATATATGGGCAGCTACTTTTGACTCTTGATACGTGTTTTGCCCATTTTTCTCTTACAATTAAGCCTACTCCAGACCTTTTGTTCTTATCGGCTTCTATCTCTGACCAAAATGCTTTAAAACCTTCAAATTTTCTGAACATATATTTGCACCCTCTTTCACCCAAATTTATTTAACATAACCCTACAATGTCCAAATTGTGCTCTACTATATAATCTATCAAAAAGTCCAATTTTGCTACCCTTGACTTAATACCATTAATGTTGTGCATCTCTATATATAATGGTTCAAAAACGTTTGTGTTTTTCTTTCTCCTTGTACTACTGTCTGCTTATAGTACCTCTTTATCTGTTGAGATGTCCTTGGTGCCTTTTAGGAAAAGTTCGGGGATGCACTCTCCTGGTGCCTTTCCTCAATTGTGATTAATCTTTGCAGTATTTCCTTGATTAGCTCTGCTTGGGACTTTGGTTCCTTTCGAGTTGGCTAAGCTTTTGGGTTACTTGACGGCTTTGTAACGCTTCTTTTCTTTTTTGCACACTCTTTTTCAGCCCTAACTAAGTAGTTCGCCGAGTCTAAATTTTCTTTGCTGCTTTTTTGGTCAGGTGACTGCCCTCTTTTGATCGACAATGGCTTTCTGCTTGCTTTTTTTCTATTTGTTTTGGTTTTTTTCTGGTCTGGTTTATCCCCTTCTAGTACTGCCACTCTAGCTTGCTATTATAATAATATACAGTTTCTTTAAGAGCTTTTTCTCGGTCTGCTTCTGATCCAAAATATACTGTTGCTACTTCACGTTGGTTTTTGTTTCGATTTGATGATATATATACTGCTTTTGTTTTAGTACCTCTAAGCTGTCTAAGTAGAGCTGACTTTATTGCTAACTTTGAGATCTTTTTTGCAATTAACTTAAATTGACTTCTCTCTATCAGAGTATGCTTATCGAAGGTTCCTTGTGTAATTCTAACTAATTTGCCTTCTTCGAAGTGAATTGCCCAGGCCTCTTTTAGTTTGAACTATTTTTTAATGCACCTTTTATATCCAATACTTCTTATATTATCTATTAAATATTTTTTTTAAAAGCATCTTCTTGATATCTTAATTAAATTAAATATCATATACGCCTATTATATATTCTTAATTTATCCTAAATCTAGATAAGCTTTGTCTACTCTAGTAGATTTAGGTTACAAATAAGTTACTAAATTTACTTAAATTATTAGGTTCTTCTAGTTATATGTCTAAGTTTTTATTTTTAGCACTAGGCTTAAAATATAAAACCTTTACTAATTATATATATATAAAGTTTTTATTAAGCTTAATAAAAATAAGAGCAAAATCTTATTTTAAACATTAAAAAAAAAAAAACAATTCTTAAACAAAGAACTATTTTTGAACTTAAATTTACAAAATCAACTATATATATATATATAGAAAGTTTTAGATTTAAACTTCAATGTTCTGCTACTGTATGTTTTATTTTCACATAATAATACAAAAAAAATTTACAACCAATTTTATATTAAAATTTGAAAATTATTTACTCTACCTTTAAACATTTCTAATTAATGTAAAATTTTGCTTCTAATCCATTAATCAAAGTGCTTAAAAAAAACTCTAAAATCTTGTACAAATAAAAAATTAATAAGAAATGAATAAACTACAGTATTTAAATACTTGATTAAATTTTAAATAAAAGGTAAAAAAGTCAATATAACCGAATAGCGGTTAAATATACGTATAATTGTCCGGAGCATAGCTCAATTTCTATGCAAAGTGATGCAAAAGTTGCGTTTTTAATGCTTCAGAAGTATCGTTCTTGGCGTTTCCATAGTAAAAATATCAATCTTCTCCACTTGCATATTCGTGTAACACACCAAATCCCATGGGATTTCGCTCCGGACTTATAACGGTTTCCGTTTCCTAGTATATATACTGGTATACCATTGGAATTACAGAATTAGCCAGATGGCCCCTCCAAAGTTCAGGTCACATGTTACAAGCCAAAAACCTATTGTAGATAACTATAGAACTAAATACTAGCAACGGCGTACAGTATATGATATTCAAAAAAGAAAATTTTGTAATATTACGGTTCATACTTATACGGTGAATGAAATTAAACTCCGTACGTATTACGTACGTACGTATATACGTTAACATTAGTGTACAACATTTTGAATCCCTGTAATAGTCCCATGACTGATAACGAAAACGATAAATTTCTGGTATGCAGATATGATTAACAAATTCACCTTTTATATAAAACATGCTCCCGGTAGCGCCGAAAACTGATTGCCCTCATATTAATAATGAACTTACTCATGCTTGGGCGCAAGTTCCAGTAGATGGTTAGTAAATTAGTCAAGTTTAATACATAAGCTTGCAGGTAAAAAAATTCTTTTGGATAATTGATTTATACGTATTATTTAGTCCGAGCACCTTGTAATACCTGTCAAGATACTAGCGAAAATTGGAGGTGTCTAGAATGCCAAAAAGTATTCTGCAGCAGGCATGTAAATGGCAACTAATTCAAAATTCAGTTATTTCCAAAATCATCTTTATTCAAATTTTAAATTTATTAAAAGATATGTTAATGGACACATGAAAGAACATAATGAACAAACAAATCATAAATTAACAATTTCATTCTCTGATATTTCCACATGGTGTTATGAATGGTAAGAGTATAAGTAACATTTATCAGTGGCAAATTGTATTACAGTATTTATTAAGTGAACTGAACCTTTCAAAATTATAAAGTGATGATTATGTGATAAACCCAATTCTCAATCAAATCAAATCATCGGTGCATTTTGCCAAATTTGGAACTTTACCCCCAGATGCTTGCGGCATTGAAGTAGTTGGCGAAGGAGACAACGCTGGAGAAGGAGGTTCCAGTGCTTAAAGAACTAAATTTTGTTCTTATTTATACTGAGATCAAGATAAAAACGATATATAAGGCATTGATAATATTAAATAAAAATTATGTTCAAGATAAATTATAACATTTAAATATTAATATAAATTATCGTTTTAAGAAAAATATTTTACAAAATGTGCAAAAATAATATTTTTCAAGAAACTTTAAATATATATATAAGGGATAAAGTAGTTTTCTAGTGAAATATATTTTATGGGATTTCGCTTTCAACGTCACTGAAATGCACGTGCTTTAGTTCTTTACGTTGAGGACGTGTGGTCGAAGTAGTAGGGACAAGCTTTTCGGTATCTATTTGCTGAGAATCATTATCAACTTCAAGTGTACATGAAAATTCAGCAACTTGTTCTGTAGCTATGAATTGCGGGTTTGTTGGTTCACCCACAGTTCTTGCAGCACTAACGAATGTAACGTGTTGATTATTATTATTATTATTATCATTGTTATTATTCGAATCACTTAATTCCGATTCTATATCTTTTTTCGGTGGTGGCGTTGGAGGTTTCGGAATTAAGTTTATTACAGCGCCATCCGTTATGGAATTTGCCGTAGTCTCTAGTGGAAAGTTTTCTTTTACTTTTGACATCTCTGCTTCAGCATCAGTAGTTTGATCCAAGTCACTATGATCAGCTTCATTTGGATCCTCAAAATATTTAGTATTAGATGAAGAAATTCCACCCGAAAATGTTGGAGTTAAAGATTTACGCTCAGAGGAATTGAAAGAAAATTCAGTATTTTCATTATTTGGAGCATCTTGCGGGGGTGCAGAAAGAACGAAGCTAGTATTTCGTGTGGATAATGGATCATCGGTCGAGTCATCGGAAATTGTCGTTCGAGGTCTTGTAAGATAATTAGGAGTATTTTCATGTGGTAGTGCCCAATTTTCTAGTGCTTGCTTTGCGTCAGCAACAGCTTGTGATGTAATTTCCTTTCCTAAAAAAGAAAAAAAAAGAAATTATTAATTTATAAATACATAAACATAAATTCTATTAAAGTATTTGTAAACGTACCTCGATATTGTTCTCTTGGTTCACCAGGACGTGTTTCAGTAAGGGGAATTTGGTCAATTATTTTTTTGCAATATTTACTTATAATAACTAATTTTTCACCAAACTCAAGAAATGCATCGAATTGGACCGTTAATGCTTCATGTAATTCTTTGCGTTTAAAGTCAGCTAAAGCTGTCTCAGCTACATGTTTATCAAAATAAAAAAAAATAAAAAAAAAAAGATAAATAAAAAATCATGATTATTTTCATAATAATAAAATAAATTAAATTATTTACCCTCAAGAGTATCCTTATCTAACTTATCCAACTCATTTTGATAATCTTGAATTCTCTTTTCAGCGGCTTCAGAACGTTTGGAAGGGTTTGACTTACGTTCCTCCTTTTCTAATTTACTCCATAAAGTTTCCTTCCTTGATCGCTGTTCTCTCATGTTATCTTCTCGAACACGAATTTCTTTTAAATGTGAACGATATTGAGAATAATGATTCGCTAAATAATTTTAAGTAAATAATTAGAATAATAAAGATTAAAGAAAGATTTTTTTTTTTTTCATCGATTAACCAATTTAAATAAAAAGACAAATTACCTAGAACACCTTCAGCTTCGGATAATTTTGTTATTAAATAACCCAATTTCTCGGTCACATCATTTAAGTCAACATCTTCGCTTTTTCCCCAAATCGACAGATATTTTGCGGCCTCATTCTGGTCGTATGCCAAAGTGCTAAAAGCGTGCCATACACCACGTTCAGAAGCAATTAATTTATTCAAATGCTTTGTATCATTATTCACTAAATGATAAAATAATTCTAAGATTTGCAAGGATAGTTCATTCTATAAAAGACCTTTAATACGAGTTTTTCTCACCAATAGCATGCGCCGAAGTAATGCTGCGAGTAACGTCTCGTAAGGCTAATTTTACGTATAAAAGAAAAAAAAAAGTCACATATATCGGCACTTCAAAAAAAAAAAAAAAAACTTAGAAAAATTCGGAGGAATAAAATCTGGAAATACCTTTCATGGAGTTTATGGACAGTGTACAAATGATCGTCGCTTTTAGACGACAGGTTTGAATCATATTTATATACACGGAGGTTAAACTATACGCACGTGTACCATATCACAAAAACTGAATATCAATCTCGTGATCTTTTAAACCGATTAGCGTTAGATTTGGATCTCTCTTTGTGTAATACATGCAGGTACCAGAAGTTCCCGAGTATTATACTAGGAAGACATGAAACATTAAATCCCAAGCATTCATCCAATCGGAAATATATCACGTGTCGGACAACATATTAATTTTAAACCAGCATGGATACAGGTAAAGATGTTAGTATGTTAGTAGGATAGTGAAAAAAATAATTCTCCAACATTTCCAGATACAGCAATACCCGATCTTAATCATAGTACGTAATTTGGATAAATATGTTTAATTAATGACGCAAATCAAAAACAGTAGTGGTAATTGATAGAATATAAAGCTAATCAGAGAAAAAAATATTTCATACGTATACAGTATATATATATATATATATATATATTCACAGTTACAGTCGAATCCCCACAATCTCCACATAAAGTTGACAACAGGGCACAAAATTCTATTGTAAAATACCGGAGGTTCCAGTTAATTAAGAAAAATTCCGACAGAATTTTTTTAGCAATCGGAAAACTTCCGTTATTTATCATATTCATAAAATAGTGATAGTATTTGTTAATATCCCCGGCTGCAGATTCGCCGGAAAAAATCAGGACACGTCATGTCACGATTTTGTGCACTGGTTGACAATGGATCCAATAAATACTTACATTCATTACCTTTTTTCTCCTTGGATAACAAAATTGCCTATAGTAACCATACAGTATCAGATATACGTATAATCACATCATACAGTATTCACTATGATCCCCGAAATTTACCATTTTTTTTTCTTATTTATTTTATCAGCTTCGCTTGTTATTAATGATTAATAAAAAGATACTCAAATGTCTAGCATTTTCATGAGATATAATACAGCATCTCTTCCTCTATTTCTTTTCTCCTAATAATACTGTAATACAGTAAAAAGATACCATAATTCAATCTCAGACTAAATCTCA